CAACATAGGATACTTTTTTAAAACATTTACCCGTATTAATTTGAGATGGAGAGAAACTAACATTTTAAAGTATTTTGTTTTAAAGATACTGTTTGTTGAATGCCAAGTAGAACAGGTATGAATTAAGCTATAAATGTGTAATTTCAATGTAAGGTGTAATGCTTGCTTGTAGTGAATTAATTTTTAAGTCACCTGCACAGCAAAACTGTAGTTTCAGACAGGAAATACTGTGACGAGAAAGAAATTTAAACTCATTTAATGTTTCATTCATTTAAGCCAAGTCTAAATTAAGTTCATTTTCAAGGAATTTGCCTTTAGTCATGAGAGTTTATTTAGACCCTGTTGGTTCTATATAGTTACATCCACTGGACAGCATTACAAAGAGTGATGCTTAAAAAGAGACATGGTGATTATGGAAGAGAGAAGTGCTTGCTGGGTAGATGCTAAGTGTACAGTTTCACAAAGTTGTCCCTAAAGTAGTCCAAGCTGACGGACAGCCTGTACCCTGCCATCAGAGCCTGGAATGTGGGCTGAAGACAGAAGCAGCCAGCACACATTACCCTAGTCTGTATCATAGAATCAGAGAATGGTTTGGATTGTGGGGGATCTTAAAGCTTATCTATTTACAACCCCCTGCTATGGGCAGGGACACCTTCCACTAGACCAGGTTGCTCAAAGCCCTGTCCAACCTGGCCTTAAAACTGTCAGGGATGGGGCAGCCACAGCTTCTGCGGGCAACCTGTGCCAGTGTCTCGCCACCTGCACAGCAAAGAACTTCTTCCTTATAGCTAATCTAATTCTCCCTTTTTTCAGTTTAAAGCCATCCCCCACCTTGTCCTGTCACTACAGGCCCTTGTAAAAAGTCCTCTCCAGCTTTCCTGTAAGCTCCTTTATGTACTGGAAGCCTGCTCTAAGGTCTCCCCAGAGCTTTCTCTGCTCCAGGCTGAGCAACCCCAATTCTCTCATGACAGAAAGCTGGTTTGCTTTATCATCTTGGTAACTTTGGTAAAGCTCTGTCACATGCCATTGCCTTCAGGCAGATTTCTAAATATGCTTTTTGCCTTGGTGGGTGCAGCTATGTTGGCTGGAGCTTATTGTCCTCTACTCGTCTCCAGGGTCTTGTGCTCAGCGCTGCCATGTGTATTTAAAAACATGTGCCCCATCCTAAAATTCAAGACCCCATCCTAAAGCTACCCTATAGGCTTGTATAACCTCTGCATTGGAACTTCCACACACCCGCTCGTTCGTTTGAAGGTTGTGTATATTATTTACTGATCTCTTACAGCTATGTGGAAGGAAAAAGGAGGGGGAAAAAAACCCACCAAAATTCCAAGATATGCTTGTGAATATGCTTGTAATTGGAGGTATGCGGTGAGCTCATGGTCTACCTTTTATAACCATTGATGCAACTTTTCCAAAGCACAATTCCAGGAGTCAGTGTTACAAACAGATTTCAAGTTAAAAAATGTTAAAGCTTCCTGCT